TTACATATTATATCAGTTACTTTCGTTTTACCTCAATTTTCGCAACAAACTCATTAAAAACTGTGCACGTTATTTCCTGAAACGCATCATTTGACATTATTTCACTGCAATTTTTGCATTTTTCATCACTAATTTTCTCGTTGTTGTTAACCGTGCCAAAAGGCCACTCTGCATCAAAGTTAACACTAGAAAATTTATAAATATATGTAAACAAAATATTCATATTTTTAAATTTCCGCACTAGTAATAGCTTACCTCGCGTATTTGGCGAAGATTTTTCTTAGTATACCCTTTAACGAAGTATCCACTTCGACGCGATCGGTTGTAACTTTTTTTCGTGAATTATAACGTCGATTTTTGTGCCAACCCCATTGCTCTAGAAAATGTAAATCACTGCAGCGTCTACGTGGTTTCGGCTTATTTGATTCGGAATTGTTACAAGATTTCTCATAATTATCCGCTTCGTCTGGTGAATTTTCCGATACTTTCTTCGTTTGCTCGGCATCACTTGTTGGTGGTGTATTGTTAACAACAGTCTCTGTTATAGCCGCATTAGTTATATTAGTGCTACTTAACTCTGTATCTGGTATTACATCCATGTTATCATTAGAATTACTACTGGCTGCAGCGCTTATTTCGGTTTGAACACAACTCTCTTGTTGTGTAACATTTTCTATTTTACACGTGTTATTGCTATCGGCTAATATATCTTTCAAACTTAAAAGCTTAATTAATATTTTGCCATTTTCTTGCATATACTGATATAATGCCACTATATACTGTCCCACAGTGACCCAATTTAATTCTTTAACACATATCTTTTGCACAATTTCATCAGGCAGTGTAAAATTTGTGGTATCTGATTTTGAATCATCATTGCGATAGTTGCGTGGAAAGGCGCTGTCTTTTGTCCATGAAGAGAGCGGTTTCAAACTTTTCGGTATTGGTCCATACATATCTTCACAAAGTGGCATAGATGATTTAAAAGTGCCAGATATTTCATATAGAATTTTGGCAGCGCGTTCATAGGTAGGATCTCTGGTGTATAATTTTAATGCGTAGCCATATGCGCCGATTATATTATGATTCTCACATAACGTACGCAACATACCATCAGCGGCACTCCAATGTTGTGCATTGCAACGTAGGCAACGCTCAAAGGCGAACTCGGCCAACTCTATTGCATTTAGCTTTAGTGCCAGTTGACCAAAACGATGCATGGTGTGTACATCTGTGTCGTCTAATTGTGTAGCCTAAAGTGATTGAGTTTTAAATTATATTAATAGCTTAATATATTAGATATTTTTGTTAGAAATACCATTATGTAATGCTCCAAAGCCAATTCATTCTCAGCTTTCTCCTCGTATATGAAAGCAATATTTTTATGGCAATTGTAACGAATCGTACGTAATTTTCCATTTGGATCTTCCTCAAGCAGCTAGAAAATTAAATAATAACAAATATCGTATTAATGAAGATTAGAAACAAGAAAACCCGTTAACTTTTGTTGCATCGAAGAAGTGATACCCTTCGCAAACAAAAAAGTTCCTTTACAATAACTTTATTTTAATCGTTCCGTTTGTATGACAACTATATGCTATAGTAGTCTAGTCTAAGCAACTTCTTCGGAGATCGTACCGGTGCTTTGAACAATAATTCATTCTAAATTTCGGGAGGATATTTCGTATAATAAAATTACAATTCCATACAAGGATATGTATTTGATCGTTCAGTTTGTATACCAGCTATATGGTTCGGACAAATAATCATCTTCTTTAAGAGAAAAGAACGTGTGCAAAATTTCGATATCTCAAAGACTGAGGGACTAGTTCACAGACATAGAGACATGATTAATCGCTTATGAGCTTAATGATGCTTATGAGCTGATGCTGATAATTTTTATATATATTTTAAAAGATCTCTGATGTTTCCATCTTTGTGATATTTAAGCTTCGTGGCAAACTTGGCATACTCTGTTTAGGATAAATATGTAAATACTTTCAAATATTGGTATATGAACTATTAGCCTAATTATTGTCATACTAAAATTATAGCATGCCTAAGATATCACAACACTTGTGAAGCAATTTTATTATTTCTAGTTAAAATTTGCGTCCGAAATAATACTAACCGTTCGTGTAGGGTCTCACATTGAATATTTCTATGAGTACAAGAACGATTCCTTGATACCGTAACTAGGATATTCGCAGAAGTAACACAAACACAATTTGATTAGTTAAATTTATGTCATTAAGAAGAGGCAGCAATATTATACGTTGTGATCTGTATCTCTAATTGGACGAAATATATAAAAATAATGTGAAAATTATGCAAACCTCGTTGAGTACTTGTGTTTCCAACAGCTGACTTAACAAGGAAAGTGCCGACTTTACATCTCCCTTCCATTTTAAGTTTATTGCCTTTAAATATTCGGCTTCTGCGATTGCTTCCTGCAATAAACAGAGGTATTAAAAATTATATCTAGCATTAATAAAAAAACAAAAAAAGTATTACCTGCGCCTCTTTTGTAATTACGATTTGGTCCTCGGGCTCTTCATTGCATTCTTCGTTAAGCGCAACTATCCTAATCATTACTTTATCCTTTTTTACCTTGACACTGCTCCTTTTAATTACTTGTATGACACAATTCGAGCTATTAAATGCAAATTGCAAATATTATTTATAAAACGAAACATTCGCTTATTTGCGATGTGAATAGTTGCTTTTAAAGTATTTAACCGGCATGATAATTGATAGTATAACCGATAACAATACTAATCGATAAATTTTTATCAGTGAATAAACTTGATTTTTATAAAGCCATATGTGTCTATAAAACATTATAAAATATGTGTATATCTTTTTTTTTGGCATAGCATATTATAATATTGCATAATACAATGCTATTCAAATATGCTATACTGATGATATGAACTGCATTTCATATCGTATTCATACAAACAAATTTGGTACATGTAATAGAAAATATCAGCTTCTGTCACTCTGTTATAATGAAAAAATGTATTTATTCCAACCTTTTGGAATTATTACACTCACCACAGAGAGGAATAGTTTTGTTAACAGGATCAACCAGGAAACATTGTTGAGCAACCGGGGATTATATGAATGATATATGCAATTTCTAAATTTCTTTTATATGGGTTTTGTTGCACGTGACTGCACTTTAGTTTTACCCAGTATTTTCTTCAAGTTTACCTATATGATACATATGAATATATATTATATATAATTTCTAAGCTGTTTTATACAAAAGTGTACGTTATTAAATATTGCATAAATTAATTTAAATGCATATAGTCTGGCAGTACTGAACCATTTTTCGCCACCCTGTTGTATTCATTCTCACCATATAATAATTAATTAAGCAAGTTTATTATTCATATTGAATTAGCGACAAGCATTGTCATTTACTATTTGCCGAATCATTGTAGAATTTTTCTGTATTAACAAAAATGGTAAGAATGAATAAAAAACAGTGTAATATTTAATAAAATTTAATATATGTTTACAGTTTCGAAACCAATATGACAGTGATGTTACTGTTTGGAGTCCGCAGGGACGACTACATCAAGTAGAATACGCCATGGAAGCAGTAAAACTTGGTTCAGCCACCGTTGGCTTGAAAAACTCAGACTTTGCTGTGTTGGTTGCTTTGCGTCGTGCCGCTTCTGAACTTTCTTCATCCCAGCGTAAAATTATACCAATTGATGATCATTTGGGCATATCCATAGCTGGCATTACAGCAGATGCACGCGTACTTAGTAATTATTTACGTACGGAATGTTTAAATTACAAGTATGCTTATGGTGCCAGATACCCGGTATCACGTCTCATTTCGAATCTTGGTAATAAAATGCAAGTAACAACACAACGTTATGATCGTCGTCCATATGGCGTGGGGCTTTTAGTAGCCGGCTATGACGAAAGAGGTCCACATGTATACCAAGTAGATCCTTCAGCAAACTTTTTCAATTGTAAAGCCATGTCAATTGGATCGCGGTCACAAAGTGCGCGCACATATTTGGAGCGTAATATAAGTTCAAAAGGTCGTGATTTCGTTTGTACAAAAGACGAATTAATTTGTCACGGTATACAAGCTATACGTGGTTCACTGCCCAATGACGAGGACAGCGAATCGCCACTACTGGTAAATTTCACAATATAAATTCGTCGTATAAAATATGTGCCTGATTTTTCTTTTTATTTGTTCATTAATTTAGAACATCTCAATTGCAATTGTGGGCAAGGATCAACCATTTAAGATTCTAGATGACGTTGAAAGCAAGAAATATTTAGATATGGCGAAAAAATTGCCAGCACCACCAGCACCAAGCGATGATGTACCATCTACGGGTGGTGACGATGATGATGATAAACCTGGTGATGCGCCACCAGATCCACAAGTGCTTGTAGGAACAATGGAGCGCTAAAACAATAATTTTTATATGTTTTCGGTGCATTTCAGTTAAATAATATTAATAATAAAAGAAAATTTAATTTTGTGGAATGCTGTAAGCTCTGTAATTTTTAAATGTCCGGAAAATATGCGTTTCATTTAAAGCGTTTCCATGCAAAAGAGATTGAATTCTTATACGACGATGACTAAATTTGTATGTAACGGTGTCAAGATTTTCCGGATCGTTAATTTGAGTGATTTTATGAGAATCTTGACTGTTGTCTAATTTTTTATAAAGCGGTAAGTTAATGAGATAATGTTATTGTAGTGTTGTGCTTTTAAAATATGTTCTTATAAAATGGAAAACAAATTATTTTGTTAAAACAACTGAGGTGACAGCACTTCATGTGATATACTTAAATCGAGGTTAGTTTGGGTTATATAGACCCGTCTGTCGATAATCCGAGGTCGGCTCAAAATATGACATATATTTAATTGTTTTTTTTTAAATAGTAATAGCTTGTGCAAATTAACGAACTTAAGTAATAATGGGAGAAAAATTTGTTAAAAAAACAATGTCAAATATTTGTGCATTCAAAACATTAGTTATTATATTATCGAGAACAATTCACTCTTAAACTAAAAAATCTACAAATAATATGAATAAAACAAAAAATAATATAACCATACAAATATAATATAAGAACAAATGCTAAGCTCTATAAATAGATACACATTTTTATACAAAGTGAAGTGCAATACTAAAAATATTTATTATAAAAACTAAAAGTCTTCATTGTCATGAGATTTGTTTAATATTAATTAAAGTTCCATTCGATTCGATTTTTTGCGTTCCATTTGCAATTGCTACAGGTTTCTGCCAATCTGCCGTTTTTGAATATACAGTCGCTTCAATAAGTCTATAGGACTTTCTCAGTTCCGAATTTTGGCTTGACTCCAATAAATAATGATACCAGTCCAATGTATTAATTGCCGGACCCTCGCCACCCAAATCGGGTGGTAAAATATCTTTACTGACCATATTATGTAAGCTAGTCAAATTGGTGCCATGCACCAGTAAACGTCTCTTGATTTTATCATTTAAGAAGGGCTTTACTACTTTTAGCATCACATCCACATACCAAGGTTGACCAATGAAATGTATGCCCTTGAATTTTGCCGGCATACAATCCTGTAAAGAGAAGAATATTTATATTACACGAGGTTAGTTGACAAATAGTGTTTTTGGAATGATATATTAAGTTAAATAGTTGGAGAATAATACGAAGTTGTTAAAGCCTGACTTACTTTAGACTTCCTGACCATTTATACATATGACATATACATGGACAAATTTTTTGAAACAAGAAAAAACGTTTACTTCGGCTAAACCGAAGCTATAATGCTATTCTTGTCAAATAAAAAAGTTTTTCATACTAAATTTATTTACGCTAATATATAATATATAATATAGTGAGGACCAACAAAAACTCGGTTTACTTGTAGTCCAAAAATTTAGAGAAAACAAGAAAAAACGTTAACTTCTTCATACAACAACATGATTTTGATCGACCAATTTGTATGGCAGCTATATCGCATAGTGGTCCAATATCGACCAATAAACCGATATAAATATCGATCCAATAATGACCAGTTTCTCGGTATATCTCAAAAGCTGAGTTACTGGTTCGCGTCCGACTCAGATTTATTCCGCCCAAGGACTGTCAACTCGGCAAAATTCTGCCGCTACAACACCAACAACTGGTTCGCGTATATGCAGACAGATGGACACGGATAAATCGACTCAGCTCGTCGCGTTGATTATTTATATACATACTTTATGGCATCTCCAAGATTTCCTGCTGGATATTACAAACTTCATGGCAAACTTAATATACCCTGTTCAGGTTATAAAACTCAACTTTTACAGACTTGGTTGAAGTAAACTTCAAGTAACACTCACTGAAATATGCCGATGGTATCTGACATTTCACACCAGTACCATAAAAACGGACCTTCAATATCATTCCTTGATAGTCATTATAACTTTTTCCGTTGTATAGTAACTTGGAAGTCCCCTGACCCTGCAATACTAAAAAAATGTCATGTACGGAACGAGTCCTCGCATGGCATAGTAATCTCTTTTCATTCCACCTCAAACTTGATCTTTGCCATTTGGTCCGAACCTGTCAAAATAGCCCGCTTTTCTCCTACCGTAAGATGACATCGTCAAATTAATTATAACTCTATACAACACTTTCCTTGGTATTCAAACCCACTATATCAAATTTTCAAAAATTAAGCCAATGTTTTTGAAATATAAAATTTTTTTTTTTTTCGAAGACCCGCTTATAGTATCTGTCATATAAGGCTGATAGAATAATACTATACACCATTGAAACGTGATTGATACCTATATTTTTACATTTTAAGAACTTACTTACTTTTTAGTATAATTAATATTGATGTTTTCAACGAGCTCAATTTCGAAACTCGAAGACAAATAGTCTTCTTCTTACAAAGGAGAAATTACTTTATAACTTAAGACCCAATCTCTCGAAAAAAATTGGTTTGGTTTAATACCCAATTTTGCCATACAGTGTAATACAATCTGATCAAATTTGACCCGGACTGACCACTTTAACCAGCGAAAACTACATTTGCATGTATTTTATGACTTTAAATGACTTCAATGGACTATTGGCGTTCGTTTTGGTAAAGATGCGTTTGATGAATGTAGGGTCTTCAGCTACGTTGTCAAGCGTTTTTTTTGTGACCTCTACTAGACACTCTTCACACCCAAAACATTAAGCTAAATGTGCTGAGACGTTCTATAAGACATACTCTGTTATCTCTCTGATGCCAACACGAAAATTTTCCAGCACTGTTTCTGTAGCTCTCTCTAGCAAAAAAAAATATCGATTCGGTTTGTATGCACCAGTCCGAGTCAAATTTGATCAGCTGGTACTTCAGCGTATTCTCTACGTCTACGATCTACGTCGCTCACAGCAAGCTAAATATGTAGTAGTAGTGATCGTTGCAGCATTTTTTTCAGGCGTTAAATCTTTATATTTTGTGAATAAAACGTTTCTATATAACGTTTATGGCCGCGTCTTCGCACTAGCTTTAACGTAATAGCGATTCTCTTAAATAGCGTGAGAACTCTTTACTGAGTTTGTGAGTGAATTTCCAAATAAACTCACTTCTGTAAGACACTAAACTTCTCTTAAGAGAAAATCACAAAAATATTGCTTCGATTTTTTTGGATTATTTTGTTAGTTTAATTTATTTATATTTCATAATTTCAGATTCCATATTATTATATTCCATAAGACAACATTTTTATTACACCTACATTAAATTAGTGCTTTCTGAACATAAAATTGAGATATTTCGACACCGTCTGTCGATCTGTATATATGCGAACTAATCCCTCAGTTTTTAAGCTATTAAGCTATCGAAATTTTACACCTGTCCTTTTCTTACTATGAAGCTGCTCATTTGTCGGAACAGTCGATATCGAACCAATATAGCATATGGCTGCCATACAAATTGAACAATCGGCATCAAGTGTTTGAATAATGAACTTTTTTATTTGATGTAATATCTTTACGAAATTAGGCATGTGATATTGTTTACCGCAACAATGTATTCTCTGAAGAAATTGTTCAGATCAGATCACTAAATCATATAGCTGCCTTACAAATTAAACGATCGGAATCAAGTTCTTGTAAGGCACCTTTGGTATTTGTGAAGGGTATTATAGCTTCGGTGCAACCGAAGTTAACGATTTTTCTTGTTTTTATCTCTAACAGACATTTTTGTATATTTTTAAAGAAATGTGCGTCATTAAAATTAGTGGTGACTTTTTGCAATAACTGTCTGCCATAGATATTTACTTTATTCGCTAATAATAAAGCAGTGTTTGTAAGTATTTGTATGTAAGTATGTATACGCAGACGCAAATACATAACTGATAAATAACTATGAAAATTCACCAGCATTGCCTTCCAAAGAAAGACCAAACCGTAGCAATAAACAGATTTTTTCAAATATTTACCCAGTAGCTGGTCTTCTCTTGAATACATGTTTATATACAATATATGTACATAACTACATATGTATCTATGTATGCATGTACATACTTACATGCATGTATGTTTTATAGATATGATATTTATTTATCAAGAACTGTTTGTATTATATTATATCTTTTTTTTGAATTTTTATATCGCAAAAATTTAAAACACATTGCGGCCCAGTGATAGGCACAGGTGTTCCTCTTTACATACATATGTATGTCTGTATGTATGCATGCATGTATATATGAGTATGTAATATGTGTACATAACGATTATTCGAAACAGTCGTAAATTTAAAAAAGAAAACAACGAATTTTGCTTAAAAATGTTTGTTATGATAACACTTTACGGCATAAATGCCTTTTTACCGAATATTGCACCAAACTAATTTTTTTTTTCGAGAGTTTGAGTCATAAGTAAAAAAGTAATTTCTCCGTTTTTCGAAGTTAGCCTCCCAAATTGAAATATTTGCTTTCGAAGTTCGTAATCAAACATCATTATTAACGAAAAAATTGGTTTGGTTCAATACCCAGTCGAGTGTGGTACAGTGTAATGATTCTGCAGCTTTTAAAATTATGGCGTATTAGGTTTTTTATATTTAGATACATAAGGGTCTACCAACAAGAGCAACGAATAATCTTGGACAATTTCCAAGCGTTACACCAAAGTGAAACGTGGCAGGATGAAATGTCAAACCTTACTAAACACACTGACAAAATTTGACACAAATCAGTAAAAAAACATAGACGCTGTATATATTATTATATAATTCGTTTCAAGAGTGTTCCTGGAGCATTTGTTATAATTTTGATAAATATTTATTTTTTATGTGCAATATTTTATAATATTTTATATGCAGTCAAAGTGGAAAAAGTTAGTTTGTAATTTTTTTTTTAACTACAAAAATAGTTAGTAACACAATTAAAAAATTATATAAAAAATATTAAAATTTTAAATTATTTTAGTGCCTTTCATTTAAGCAATTTCTTTACTTATTATATTGTATAATAAAAATACAAGCCATTTTGTTATTCCAAAGACATAATTATAAATTAATAAATAAACTTATTATTGATTTGCGAAGTTTAAAAAAAAATATTTTTGAGCTAGCATGGTTAAAAAATCAAAATATTTAAAAAAAATTTCAAAATATATTAAAATTAATTGATTGTGAATTTCAAAAAATCGATCGCATATATTTAATATTTGGGAATATTCTCCAATATTGTAGCTGATTCAGCGAATAAATTCAGAGATATGAATTTTGGATTTCAGATAACTTCAAGCAAAAAAATCTTCCTCAACGTCAGACAACTTTTTGGGGTCTTTCTGGCGTTGCTGCGGGATCTAGGAGATCCAAAATTTTTCAAAACGAATTGCCGATTATTAAAGTAAATTAAATTCTGTAAATGTATTGTATATTACTTTTATCTATTTATTAAATAGAATGCCTCTTAAAAAAAAAAAAAAATCACAGAAAACAATTTTTCTGACAAATGGATATAAGTATGTAACCCCTTAATGACAATAATAAGCAGTTTTGTTGTTTTTAAATAACATTGAATAAAATTATGGACAACTCCGGTGACATTGAACCGGCTGTTTAGTGTTTTAAAAACACAGTATTTTATTATTATTTTTAACGATTTAAAAATAAAAATTTTGTTTTCAAAAATATTAAAAAAAAAAAAATAAATGGAAAAAAGTGTAAAACAAAAAGACAACATATTAATCAAATGTTTAAATACTTAAAACTTTATAATAATTATTAACCATTACAATCACCACCACATCTAAAAGATATCATTTACTCACCTGCAAACATTCAATCATTAACTTAAGCGTTTTAGCGGAGATATGCTTCGATTGCTTATATGTGAAGTTTGTCCAATCAACAATCACCACAAATCCCAATGCCTGATTCTCCACATTCTCCAGCAATTTGTCCAATGACAGCAGCAACGCACGAAACACATCCTCCATGCTATATTTATTTGTATCCCAATTGGCAGCAGCAAACGTTAGAACTTTACGCCCCTTACGATCGCGCTGCTTTAATACGGATGGGTTGCCATCCCTTAAGGAAGTTTGTATGTTTTCATCAAAAATACTGAGTTTTTGTAAAATATGCTTGTTATTCTCTTTGAATAATAAATATTTTATGAGTAAGTCTAAAGCTGCTTCGCAATTGAATTTCTTCGCGTATAGGAAACGATTTAAGAAATTGATATCCATACAACAGGATTTATCGCGCAACGCCAAATTAACACTGGCGCCGATCATGTCGCGAAATAAGTCCAGTTTTCTATGTCTGTCGCGTGTATCGCTATTGCCAAAGATCTCCTGTCGGCTGTCTATGCTGCGGGTTAGACGATGGTTAAGATTCTTCTGTATTTGTACCTCGATGAACTCAGTCATTTTGAAGTCTAAAATCAAAGATATAAAATTTAATATTAACTTTAACTGATTTGTCTTATGGTATAGTCAAAATATAAAACTAATATTGGCAAAAAATGAGTTTTTTTCAATTGTCTTCGATCATGATGCTTTTCAGTCCCTTCAGGCGGTATTTTTATATGCTCAACCAAGGTATGAGACATTCCTCTAAGCAGTATGGATAAAGAAAAAGTTACATATAGCCAATTTTGGTGTGCAAGGACATGGGTTCGCGCCTTGCTCCGTCTACGGTCTATAACAATTTTTCTAATAGTGGTCATTTGGCAAACTTCAAAGCGTATTCCTTCGATCAAAAATCATCTCATAAGATACATTAGCCCTTTGGAGGCGGCCCCAAAACTATTATCGGCGAAACATATATTTAAAGTGTAATCGCTAAGGATGTGAACCTGTTATCTTTCTAACGCTAATAAGCCGATTTTTGAGTTAAATTTCATTCAGTCTTTCGATCTCTCGTTCCTTATGGCATGCTTTAGGAGACATAGCAGACTTGCGTAAAAAATTTTGGAATAATTTTCGAAGTTTCCATTGCAGTAATTTCAAAGGACTTACGAGAGTTTCTCTGCTACGCGATATCATATCCGATTTTCAAAATACTCACTATCACGCAGTCATAGCAGCAGTTAGAATATACATATATATATATTATATACATACATATATGTCCTATGTGGTATCGGTAGGTTAGATAAAATTTAGCAATAACTACTATCGCTATGAACGAAGCATTGCAATTGGGGCGGAAGTTGTTTGTGGTCTTTGACGGTTATGCTGTTTTAGCGGAGGCATTCTTATCTGTATTTACTATGCAGTCACTGTCATGTCAAATTGTTAGAATTTTTTTATGAAAATGTGATTTTGTTAGACAGCTCACGTGACAATGCATCCACAACGTAAATTAGTCAAGGACAGGTGACTTCATGGTCTACACTTTTCTGAAAGCAGCATTAAAGTTCTGATGGCTAGAGAATCAACTATTCGACAAAATACAAGCTGTTTTAATGTTTTCGAAGAAAAATAATAAATTTTCTTTTTTTTCTAAATTATTCTCTTCAACAATTTATTTTTTAAATATATATTATTAAAATAAATTTAGTATAAAATATATTGATTTTTATTGTGCAATTAAGTATAAAATTAAATTTTTGCAAATAAATGCTACCAAAAATTTCTTAAAGAAAAATAAAAATTATATTTTTTTATTTTACAAGTAAACTTACTGAAAGTAAAAACAAGTCTTCAAAAATAGTATAAGTTTTGCCATGCTAATTAGAGAGATATGTTTTTATTGCTGAAGTATTTTAATTTTATTAAATTAAAGTGTAATTAAAAAGGAAACCGAATTAAATTTTTTTCTTGTACATTTTTTAAGTTATTGAAGCAGTTATCAATTAATATCAGATTGTCAATCAATAAATAATCAGTTTGTTATTTATTTAAGTATTTTTTAAACTCTAATACTTAAATAAAAATTTAAAAAAATACATTATTGATGGTATTTTGTACAGAAATTTTTGGACAAAAAGTAAATAAGTTTTTTCTAAAAAAAATATGGAAAACATTCTTATACATTTTTAATGTTTTTGAAATTTCGAAATCATATATTTAATCCTTTTTTAAAAAAATAATTTTTTTTATATTTTTAACGAAATTTAAATTTAAAAAAATTATAATTTTTTTTTATCAATAACAGAGCTCAATATATTAAAAAAATTAAATCTACAAAAACCTACTAAGATATTACTAGCTACATCAGGTATTCGAAGAACATTGGAAATTGTTTAAGTAATCATAAATGTAAATTTTATTTACGTAATTTTTAAGTGACATTAATCAGAAATTTTGCGCACGTCCTTATTTCCCCAAGAAGCTGCACATTTGTCGGAATCGCCGATATCGTATCATTATAGCATATACCTGCCATACAACTGATCGAGCACTATAGCATATAGCTGCTATACACACTGACCGATCAAAATCAATTTCTTGAATGGAAAACTTTTTTATTTACAAGTTATCCTTACGAAATTTGGCATGGATTACAGTCTGTGTACAAATTGCTAAAATCGGATCACTATAGCGTATAGCTGGTATACAAACTGATAAAAATCTGTTTATACCCTTTTATGCTATAAGAAATGCACCTGTGAAGGGTATTATAGGTTTGGTAAAGCCGAAGTTAACGTCTTTTCTTGTTGTTTTTACATTATGTTTCCAACGGTTACCAGTCAACCGCGTACCTACTTTTGTACATATACGCCCTTCTTCATGTGCACAATGTCAGAATTAATTAAAATTTGAGTTTAGTCTACAGAAACGAACTTCATTGTATGTTTTAATATGGATCCAAATTTCATAACGGTATAATTTAAACTATTACTTTTAGTTTGGTCTTTTAATTTATTTTTTTTATTTCATACGACTATTTTAGCTTAAGTGCCTTTACTCCAGATTTATACATACATATGTATGTACAATACAACATTATTTATTTATATTTGTATATTTTTTTGTATTCCGGCACACTTCCACCAAAAATTACTTTGTACGTCAATAAATTACGATCGCTTGTTTCAAAAATCAATTAGGCATTCTTATAACTTTTGTTGTTGTTGTTGTTTTTTTTGTCTTCTAATCAATTTTAATCTAATAAACATTAATTAAATGTCTTTTATAAGTCAGCACTACATTGTTGGTGCACATACTAATTACAGGCAGTGTAAAATTACAAGTAACACAAAAGTTCAAAAGCGGCATTACAGTTTTGCAAGTATTTATGTAAAAATTATATACAACATGAATAGATTTACATATATACACACCTACACACATACACACACAAGCACAATAAATAAAAGACAAAATATTGATGACACGCAATATTTAAACAAAATATTCTGAATAGATAAAAATGAAGTTCACACAAACTTTATTCCGCAAGTTGTTGTTGTTTTTTGTTGTTGCTTATTATATTATATTTTGTTGTTTCCGATCAATCAAAGAGGTTTTATAGCAATGTATGCCGCGTTGTCGAATTTATGTGCTAAGTAATGCTACCCGATATACTCAATGATAGGCGAATACAAGCGAACAAAATTTGAAACTCATATCCAGTTATGTGTGCACTGTGATGTTTTTTATGCAACAGCTATTGTTTCCTGTTCTAAATGCAATGCGCTTGCGTTTTGTAACATCTTTGAGGTAAGATTATATTGCACGATTATATGTATATGTACATATGTATATTATATATAATATATATCTACGTATCGTATATATTTCAGTTATGCACACATATGCTATATCCACATCGAATTTATCGTATTGTATTCTATTTACACATTTTATAATTGACCACAAAGAAAACGTACGCTTATTTTCCGATCTACACTATATCTAGCATATGCATATTTGTATGTGTGTATGTGCGCGTTGTCTGTTTTCAACGGATGACTAATAATATACCTGGCTTAAACGTGTTTATGGCTTTCTCACACAACTCACTACATAGTCTTCTTGTTGTTGTTGCCTTGTCGGTTTGAAATGCTATGTTACTCTTGGCGCGCGTTAACACTCGTATGGTATTCTCGCCACGACGCTATTGCCGTACTAAGCAAAATGTTGAAACTGCTTTTTCCGCTAGTACCGCCGCTTTAATACCCACCCAAAGCCAGTAAATGCTGAGTTGGTGAACAAGTATTGAGGAGGTTCTCGCAAAATGCCAACGTCGAAGCTTTTATTAGTTGATTGTAGTCTCCGTAGACGCTTCACGTACATATGGGCATGTGTTTGTGTTGGTGATTGAGTTCATATACCCATTTGAATTTGCTGGGAGCTTCGCTTGGCTAAAAGATACAGAGCGCGTCTATCTACTTCCGAAAGCGTAAAAGAGCGCCAAAAAAATGAGCGAAAATGATAACTGATAACTGCCATAACAGACAACGCATACAAATTATTTCGGAAATTGTGTACACTCTAAATTAGTGGGGACTTACACTTTATTGACATGAAGAAATTAAATTCAACGGTAGTGCCATCAAGCCCGCCGAATATTAGGCTGGAGCTCAAGAAAGAAAGGCATAATACGTTCTACATACGTTTGAGCTTTGAAATTCACTACCAGTCGTTTCCTTTGCCTGACAGGTTGGTTATTATTCAAGAATATAGTCCTTGTCCACTTATTTTCTCAATGCAGTTGCTGAGAACTTTCTAAAAACTTTCAGAGCGTAACTGTTGTGCTCTGATCCATTAACGGTCTTATAGTTCATACAGTTCTTTAAGTTAGGTTAGGTTAGATAGTTATGCTGATCCTAGTACCAAAGATGACACAGGATCCCACTCGGACAGTTGTGAACGTTGGTTCCTTGTGATTTTCAAAAACTGTTAGATATGGATCACCAGACCCTTAACGATCGACGAACCGCTTTGAGCCTACCACAAATTTGTTAAGACGGCTAATATCAATCTCAGTAACTTCGCCAGATTCGCTGAAAGTGTGTTTTCCGAGATGTTTCAACCTGTCTGTCAAAAGTTGGATAGTTGAGACGAAAGTGTCTAGATGATTCCACCTCGCCTTTTTCCATACAGCAATTTGCACCCGACAAGATATGTAACCCTACCGGCGAGATGTACCTTGCTAAGAACAAGTAGTTCAGAGTACCTCTTGCGTTCTACTTTGAGCCAGAAGGATCACGCAACCGCAATAGTTTTGGTTTTTGAACTGTGCTTGCAAAGTTTACCATAGATCCAACGATAGAGCGCAGGAGGTCAGCAGAGTGCCGACTTGCTGTGACCCGGCATCCAAACAAGTCGGATATAAAAGAAGCTTGATGCTATTGATAAAGATGACAATCACTCTTTGACAAATTTTGAGCGCACTGTCCGCGAACTCAAGGCTAGTATTGCAGCGCTACAATTTTTGCAGCCATACGACGGTCCGACGATGGCGCTGGTGATTTCGCATTCCTACATTTCCAGTTGGCTGCTTTCTGTGCATGTGATCCACCCGGGACATTGTACGTTTGAGTTCGGTTCCGATCTTCATCCACCCACGTCCGTTTTTTTCATAGGGTTCACACACAAAGCAGCTATCCATCTCCCGGAAGGTAGTGGCCTTTATTGGTTCCAAGTTTATACTTGTTAAGAAGCCAAGGCGAGTGTAAATCCGAGGTCACATATTGGAATTCTCTTGCTTAGTTAAAAGAGGATTCAATATTAAACTAAAAATATGATTTTTACATTAAAATTATCAATATGTATTACGAGTTATGCGAAATGAGCTATAGGCGGCAGAAAATTTCGAAATAATTATAATGCATTAAAACGCATAACAAGCACATAGTACAACGGATAGCATTCACATGGCTAATTTTACAAAACTAGAACTAATGTGGCAACGCTTTTACTTTGACATTAAATTTATTCAGCCAATCAGAAAAGTAGTGTGGTGAAAAGATTCACAATAAATGTTTCTGATGATAAAAGCAAACGATTCGGTTATTATATGCAATTTGCTTCATAATCGCGGTCAGTGATATATGTGATTTTATTTCCCAATTATATTGCAAAATGCAGTCGAAAAAAATTTGAAAGTGTAAAATACAAAATAAATATCTTTGGACAAAACTGCGAAAGATTAAAATATCTAAGAAATTTCGTATTTACTAAGTGCTACGGAAATTCAATCAACAGCGGGTCGCTGCTAAATATCGATTTGTGCAAGTAATTTTACGTAGCTGGAATTTTCATGGACGAACAATAAATTTCATTTCGATACAAAGGATTTTACAAATATAAAAAAAGCAAAAGCTTCTGGCTTTTAGAAAAATTATGGTCGGACAAAATTTTGCCATATAGTATTCCGACAACTTATATTAAATTAAAAATTGTATACTAACATAATCTTGTTTGTGTGTTAACGACAGGGCGCTACCGACAGTGTGTAAACATATTTCTGTATGTGCGGCCATATATACCATAGTTAATGGAATTTGTATGCATTTCGTATATTGTGCTGACCTCCGCTGCATCCAAAAAAGAGCAGTTATAAAATCACTGATTCCATTATTATATTGAGACGATACTAGTTTTCGCGGAGTCTTGCTGCCGTGTGGAAGACCGGCGGATACTCCGTGTTATAAAACAAAAACATTCGGGCTGAAAATAACGATGGCGCAAACAAAACACCGTAGTCCGCAGCAAAGCTTTCGTATTAAAAGGTTTCATCACCTTATATTTTTTGCTGTATTGACAAATCTTTTCGCTAGTAGCTTGCAGGTGAGTACACATAAATACATTGTAATTTAATAATACTCGTATATTCCTATATACAGATGAAAATATGCCATAATAGATAAAACTTGCTTAAACTTTAAACTGTCCAATTAGCTGGGTTTGCAAATTTAAATTTCAGTACGATATGATCAAATATGTTTAAAAAATAGATATACAAATGCGAGTTTGCATTAAATGTTGTTTATACTATAAAGCAGAAATTGTGTACATTAATGTGAGTTTTAGTTGTTTTGTGTAAATGATTCGGAAAATGGCTTCCATGATTACGTTATCACGGCTAATAGACCGTGTAATTATTATTATCATATAGGATTTAATGAAAAAAGAAAATACTACCTAAATTGTTTTAATATTATCTGTATGATAAAACATTTTTATAAGTATAATAGTTAACATTTCTTCATTGACTAAACTTATTATACCTCAATTCGGTTATGTTTAGGCAAAAATAAGCAGTCTATAATCTTTACTTAGGAATTTTTGAATAACGATACTTATACTATAAGTATGTATATAAATTAATTTGTGACATATTCCAAATATCGTGGTAAATTTATAAAATTTGTTCGGATAATGATTTTTAACCGATATGCGTGCGTTATAGCAATCCATTTCGTTATCTCTCGTTATAAGGAAAAATTTTAGCAGTTTATTTTTGTTTTGCGTTGAATATAAGAAAATCTGTGGCAGCATTCAATGAATCTTATCTTTTGCGTAGAAACAAAAGACGGTATGTTTAATAAATATCACAAAGAAAAAAGTAATAGTGGTAATATTGCAATATAAAGTGTCCACCATATTTCAATGCTATATCAATTGATTTAATATGAGATACTTTGCTATATAGTAATACTCAGTGACTAGTTAGACCTTAGAACCTTTCTCAAAGAATTCCTAAGTCTGGGCAATTATTATGAATGTACATGCATTCCACTAAGGTTTAGACATAAGGGTACAGCCTACACACAAGGGGATAGCCGGGAATGAACTGCCTGACGAGCTTGCCCGCTCTGAAGCTTCCAACAGAAAGGTAGGACTGGAACCCTATATTGCGGTTGGTCCATTGTAAGCTCAAGACGCACTTATTTCATATAAGCTTAGCTTCTTGTGTAAACTGCCGGTTCTACGACATGGAACCGAAAACTCCCGAACACCTGCTGATAGACTGCACATCAGTCTGTAAACGCAGGGTTAAAATCCTTGGATCCATGTTTCCAAATAGATATCACATCGCCTCAATAGCACCTAGCAGTATATTGGAATTCATCAATGTGCTCGGGCTATGTGAGTCGTTGTGACTTAGGGGAAGGCACAATAGACCTTAGGTCGCGGTGCAGATCTAATTTATTATCTATTCTATTCTACAAGTATCTAAGGGCTACTTATACAATGAATGGATTATTGCTCAAAGCAACGAGGCGATCTCCGAATAAGTTGTTAAGATCGGAATACTATAGCATATAGCTGTCATACAAATTGATCGATCAAAATCCAAACCTTGTATGGAAAACCTTTGTATTTGTGAAGGGTATTATAGTGTGCAACCGAAGTTATTTTTTTTTCTGCTTTACTGTTATCAATTTGCATATAATAACCAATAAAGAATATCATTATGGTAACAAAAAAAATATTCTTTAAAAGTAAACGTGTCATCTTTTCAACAACACGATTGGCTAAAAAGTTTCCTATCCCTTGCATCGTTTATTTAAGTTTCGTGCTCGTTATTTTGCTGAATAGTCATTTCATTTTGGAAATTGCTTACAGAACTATGCGTGAGTTAGCAGAGGATAAAAAATTATCATATTTCGGTCCTGTGTTAAGTAAAACTTAAGTTGTATTGTCAGCGAATTCCCGTTCGAATCGACGTAAATATCAACTGATTTGTAATTCTATCATTTCGATTTCCTAAATTTATACAATGCAAATACGAGATCCAATCTAAAGATTTCTGTAAGCAGTTCTGCAGTGAAGAAATAAATAATTAAAGTTTATTTACGAAAGAATTTGAATTTGACTACTGAATAATGTATACAACTAGGATTGCAAATAAATTCAGCTTCGTTGAAAATATCTATAGAGTAAAATTGCAGAAAAAAGTGTACTTCCCGTTTCGCTTCACATTTATGCACAAATAACTTTCTTTTATTCCATATAATATGTAGATATTTATAACGTAGAGATTTTTCAGCAATCTTTGTTTTGCACTCATATACATATATAGCTACATATGTTTTATGCAATCAAAACTTCGGTTGGTATGTAGATGTGCGCAGTAGATCCTGTTTTAAGACTCAATACTTATAAAAATGTAATCTCTTGAAAAATTAAACAAAGCAATTTTTTTTATCACATTGCGAATATAAATGCATTGATTAATTTTATTGACTAGCCGTGAATCACTCTTCATACATTCTAGACCTGGAACCTTTGACCATTTTTAAAGAAAAACATTAAATTTAAACAATTGACAGTTATACTCTAAACCGAAGCTACATGATGACACTGCACTCTTTCACTAACTTTATATTTACTTTTAGTCCAGTTGCATGCCCTATTGATTCGATCTGAACATTTTCCGGAGGTTATACCGTTCCTTTGGAAATAATCTATGCGAAAATTTCGTGAAGATATCTCTCCTCAAATAAAGAAGTTTTCCATACAAGGACTTGATTTTGGTCTATCAGCTTGTATGAAAGCTACATGCTATAGTAGTCCGATCTAAACAAAAATGTTCGGAAATTACAGCGCTGGCGAGGACAACAATTCATGCTAAATTTCGTGAAGATATCTTGTCAAATAAAAAAGTTTACATACAAGAATTTGATTTTGATTGTTCAGTTTGTATGACAGCTATATGCTATAGTGATACGATCTGAATAATTTGTCCGGAGGTTACACATTTCCTTTGGAAATAATTTATGCTAAAATTTCGTGAAGATATCTCGTCAAATAAAAAATTTTTCATACAAAAGAAAGACTGGTATAGTTATTTTCAGGTCGATAACTCAAAAATATACTACAAGTACATATGTTAAAAATGGATATTCGTAATTCAGTTATTTTGTTATTAGCAAAAAATAAAAAATAAAAAACAGTAACCCACGTATGACTACAATGTGGCTACTTTCATTTTATAACTTATTTAAAATTTTGAACTTTGATTCCAACTTTGTTCATTTTCAAATACCAGAGTAAGTAGCTTGTAGCTATAACAGCGTAGTTGTATGTATGTACACATGCACATAACGTGAACACGAGTGTGTTGTTCTCTTTATTAGCTGCAGATCACTTTTTCTCGTGCTGCCATTATTAAATGCCATTTCTTCACCAGCTTTTTACTTTTATTTGAAAAATGTATCGATTTACATACAAACATACATAAGTTCAGATACTACATACGTCGGTGTTTTTATACAAATATGCACACAGTCTATGTGCAGTTTATGCTACTCTTACGTAGCTATGCTCACACGTTCGTACGTTTGTATATTTTCTATACAATTTTCCTTAAATTGAGTGCATTGATGATAGTGTTAAATAAATTTATTCTGAATATTTAATTAAAATTTGTATGAAATATATATATAATACATTGATGCGAGTAATTTCTTAACTGTCATACTTGATAGGTCAGGTTAGGTTCAAGTATCAGTTGAATATTTATACATACATACATATGTGTGTACGTTACGTACATTATTTACGCTTTTTAAAGGAAGCATAATAAAAACTCTAAGCAGCAGCGTACAGGTGTAATAGTTAAGTTTCGAAACGTGATACTTTTGATCAAGTAATTTGAGTGAGTCACGAGTGCGCGTTTGTGTTTGAAGACAGCTGTAATATGCCTTACTTACATTATACTATTCTCAGAAATGTGTTGAATAATTTTTGTTAAGATTTTAAATATTACGCAATGTTTTGTTTTAAATATTTAAATTAGTTCTAACGGCATCGGGGAATGCTGTCAAGCTGACTGTCCTTGATAGGATGTAAATACATAATTAGTTGAACCCAACTTCCATGTGATGGAAGAATAATCCACCAAATTCATAGATGTTGTAGAAGTGGAAAACATTTACCAAATAAATTTCAGGGACGCTCCCAAAATTGACAATTTTTGGAAGGTATTAAAATACAGATCCGTTCTCGTTATGTGGACTCAATTATCATACGACGGAGAAATAAAACTGGTTTTTCTAAAATATTAAAAAAATAAGAAAAAAACGTTGACTTCGGTTGCAAGGTATACCAATCACAAATAAAAAAGGTTTCTATATATAAATTTGATTTTGATCGGTCAGTTTGTATGACAGTTATATGCTATAATGGTTTGATCTGAATAATTTGTTCGGCGATTGTACCGTTGCCTTGGACAATAATTTATGCCAAATTTCGTGAAGATATCTTGTCAAATAAAAAAGTTTTCTCTGCAAGAACTTCATTTTGATCGATCAGTTTGTACGGCAGTTATAAGTCATAGTGATACGAAATCGGTGTTTCCGGAAAAACAGCAGCTTCTTAGGGAGAAAATTTCAGAACGATATCTCAAAAACTGAGGAACTAGTTCACGTATATATTGTCAGACCGACAGATGGACATACTAAATCGACTCAGAATTTCTGTCGCTATAACAACAATAACTAAATCAAGTCAGCTCGTCACGCTGATCATTTATATATTGTATATAATATGTTATATTTTATAGTTTCTTTAACATTTCTTTTTGGGTGTTACAAACTTCGTGACCAACTTAATGCAACTTATATGTACTGCCAGAGTCTTGTTCTAACAAGTTATCGTCAGAATTTCCCTGCAGTTCGGTGACAAAAAATTGTACGTTGGAATGCCACTGAAATTGGGTTGCCAATTATCGAATAATTCTTTATTGTATCTAAAAACAAAAAAAAATATAAGTATTAATTTTTACATAAAATATTATTAAATTAATTTTTAAATAAAAAAATAAAAAATAAGTGTAAACTATTTTAAACTTAAATCTGAATTATAGAGCTTCTATAAAAATTTATATATTTTTTAAATTTCTGCCAAAATTGCTTATATCATTCACAATAGTGTATTAAAACTGACTAGAAGAATGTTTTCGCTTATCTTAACTGGCGTGAAAACCTAGTAATGCACATAGTTTACTGATTAATCATATTGTTTACACAATACATACACATACATACATATATATCTATAATTACTCATTAAATCAAAATATAAATTAAATCTCTGTTTTATTTCTATTTTTTTTTCTTTTCTTTAGGACTGCGTTTGGTATGGTGTCTGTAATGTTGATCCCGTTATGGGACACAAACAATATTGCGTTTACAATGGTACAGCAAAGGTAATGCCTGCCAATGGATTGGAATTGATGAAACAAAGATGCAGTCATTTGCTGGAAGGTGGCGCCACTGAATTTTGCTGTGATAGCGATCAGGTAAATAAAGCGATAACTCATACATACTATTTATATACTTTATATATATGTGTTTTTAATTCTTTAAAGATTTCCATACTTAACGAGAATATCAAATTAGCTGCGAATTTTCTCGAGCGCTGCCCTTCGTGTATGGCAAACCTTGTGCGTCATTTATGTGACTTGACTTGTTCGCCCAAGCAATCGGGGTTCTCGAAGATTGCTCAGAGTAGCATCTCACCGGCTGGTAAGTTAAAACACTGCATGTATGTGTGGGTTTATTTATGCCTATGCTAATTGTACTGTTTCGTAATCGAACGCATATATATATTTCTAGGTAAAGTTTATGCTACCGCACTGGATTTACACATCACTTCAGCATATTTGAACAACACATATAAATCATGTTCACAGGTAAGTTCTAAAATCTATTTACTTACATATATAGTTTTTTGTTACAATTTCACACTACTAATGGTTAAAAAAGATGATTGTTAGTGTTCATTTGAACTCTAAATAGGCCAACAAATACGGTTAATTAATATTAAAAAATCTCAGTAACTTGTTTATCTGCGTATACAGTGTGTAAATTATTATTATCATTAAAAAATATATATTTTATGATATATGTTTATGTTATTTTACTAGTAATGTTTTGTTGAAAACTGTGTTTCGTTTTGAATAAAATATAAATGCATTCAAATTAGACTCCGACTGGCCCATAAAAATGGGTGCGCAAACCGATAATTTTTTTTGTTCCTAGATTGGTACAACCTTTTTTATATTCGATCTCCATAAGTCAATTGGTTTGTGTTTAGCAGCTGTTTGTTTACGACACCAAAAGGTTGTCTTGCGATTTTTATATATTGAGTCAATGTTTCGAAAACAAAAAAAGTCACTAGGAGCTAAAATTTGATCCTGTAATTATGTAAAAATTTACTATGAATTAATTATCAGATTTATACCTTTGCTTGTGGCTTTTTGCGTTTTCACATAATAATATCTAAAATATACAAGCTGGAAACCATGTTTCAATGTTTTTTCTTTTTTTGGCTCTAATTGTCAAATTTCCAATCTTCTTAAATTCTTAAATTGTAAATCTGTCTCGTTCAATAGATTCTAGCTATATTTGAAGAAGCTTTAAAAAAAAATTATTTAACGTAAAACACTTTATAAATGTCGATTCTGTTTTCACTTATCCGAAAAAAATTTAGACGCATCTTTTATGAATTTTAGGCTCAATTACAATTCAAATTGTGTAGCGCTTACCATATTTAGTTTTTTATTTTTAAGTTAGTATTTTTTAAAATTTTCCAAAAATGTTTTTAATAACTTTTCAAATATATATTATATTTTATATTAAAAAATAAATTTTTATGTTTCATATTTTTTTAAATATATTTTTTCAACATTTTTCTTTGTTTTTAATTTCTTTCCAAATAATTTTTTTTCTTATTTTGAAATTTTTTTAAATTTATTTTTTGTTTTTAGTTTTATTTCTTATAATTTTGATTTTTTTTCCAATTATTTTTAATTTTTCCAATTTTTTTGAACTTAAAAATTGTTTTTTTTAATCCTTTATTTTTTTTTTAATTTTTTTAAAATATTGTTTTTATGTTAATATTTTACAGTTTTTTTTATTTAAAAATATTTCTTTTTCCCTTTTTTTCTACTTAAAAATGGTTTTATTTTTAATCTTTAATTTTTTTTAAATATTGTTTATTTTGTTAATATTTAACATGTTTTTTATTTAAAAAATTTTGTTTCTAAATATTTCTTTTAGCATTTTTTTTGTTAGTGTTAAATATAATAAAAATTAAATCGCCATTTGCAACTATGTTGTGCTCTTTTTCGATATTTCTTTGTCGTGATTTTGCTTTACTGAAAGCACACAGGTATAAATGCATTGATTCCCCACGTCATTCAAAACATTATTGTGTTTAAATGAGTAATTACATACAGTCATTTTCTGCTACTGGTGTCTATTTCGTTTTCAGTGACAGTTACAGACATTTGCTTGTAGTCGGGGAAAATCTATGTTTATCTCGTAGACAAACCAAGGTTAATTATAATAATCACACATGTAGATAGGTATAGGGGTATTTGTGCATTCACCAACAAATGTTTGGTTTACATTACGAATAAGAAATGTGATGAAAGTCTTTACATTCTCTTTTGCTTATATTCTTATATATTATTTACGTCTGGGACGAGCTTTCCTTGTAAATGAAAATAGTATAGTTTACTACCATGACATGTGAAATTATTGCTAACATTTGATGTAACTCGTTACGAATTCTATAAAATATTATTAAACACTGGTAGATACATACATATGTATATGTAAGTACATATGTACGACATAAGTGATCTTGCTGCGACAACAATATATAAATATATAATTGTTTTAAATTACCTCCATATGTAAACATGCATATTTATATATAGTATTATGGTATGTACATTAGGATAGATCACGAAATTAAGTTTGTAACTACAAAACTACAAAAGTTGACTTTTAATAGAAGAGAAAATTTTCGTTCTTGACGTGTTTTTCCCCTTACTGTTGTCTGTTTATTAAACGCAATGTTTTTCCAGCTGTTGACGATTCGTCGGTGCTTAGAAAATGGCGAATCGAACAAACAACTAGTATAAAAAAAATATAGGCAGAAAAGCTTCAACATAAGCGGACCGAACCCTGATTTTTATCTAATACTGTAAGCTCAGCAAGATTCCCAGAAGGAAACGTCGGAAACCCTATAAAGGGTAAATGTATAGTTTAGGTCTCCCAACGAAGGAAGCCTCTTTTGTTTTTAATCGTCTTATTTTGACACGAAGATAACAAATCCGTGAGCGGAAATTGAATTTTTTCAATAATTTATATATATATGTATGTATGTATATAAATATATATTTAACACACTTTGCACATATATTTGAAGCAACTTAGTTTTTGTTGTTGTAGCGGCAGAATTCTGTAGAATTCAGATCACTTAAATGTAATTACAAGTTCAACGAATTAGACATTTTCTTGTGAAGAAGGAGTATTAAATAAATATAACAGTCACGATTCCTTTTGCGCCGCGATCTATGGGCACCTCGGCTTTGGACCGACCGGGGTTATTTTTTTGTAGCGCGGCAAAAGGCCGCCAGTGCAGAAAGGAGTCACTCACAAAAAAAACAATAATTGAAAAAAAATGAATTGACGATATAAAAAAAAAATTGAATTTTCACGGCCTCCTCGTTGGGGACCTAAACTATACATTTACCCTATAACGTATAGTAAACGTGGTGCCGATACATGTCATACAAACTGATCGATCAAAGAAAAGTCCTTGTATGGATAACTTTTGACATTTGAAAATATACATATCTGTACGAAATGTGACATATGTTGGTTATTGTTCAAAGCAACTCTATAATCTCCGAAGATATTGTTTATATCGTATCATTATTAGCTATAGCTATAGTACAAACCGAGCAATGAATATCAAGTTTTTGTATGGAAAATTTTGATTTGTGAAGTTTACCTTTATTTTTTGTGTTTTTGGTTTCGCTTATAATTTTTGTCGAGCAGGGTCCAAGCAAAGTAGTGGAAAACTGTTGCATTGAAGCTGGTTTGCCGCTAAGCGAACTGACTTAGTATAAAGTCTAATATAATATAAATCAAAGGTGCTAAGTTCACATATCAATGAACCACAAGTCAATTAAAATAATGATTACTAATTCAAGAAAAATTATCTGTGCATAAATAATTTAATAATAGTGGAAATCAAAAGCTGATTTAGCAATTTAATACTCCTAGAATAATAATAATATAAAATAATGAAAAAATTATTTTTTTTTAAATTCCTAATCCATTAATTTTATATTTTCTTTCGCCCACAGGTCTCAGTGCCATCGACTGGTCAGAAGGCTTTGGATTTAATGTGTGGCAGTTACATGGCAGCACGTTGCAGTCCAACAAAATGGTTTGGCTATATGGGCGATCATGACACCAATCCATATGTACCGTTTCAAATCAACTATATACAACATGCAAATAGCTCGGCCTCGCAAGGCTTTACGCCATTGAATTCGAAAACCACACCATGCAATGAGAAATTGAATGTAAGTTTTCGCTAAAATGGCTTGATAATTCAACATACGGTTTTTATATTTTTCGAAAAATATTTTCCTACAGGATAAAACTCCTGCCTGTGGTTGCAGCGATTGTGAGGCTTCTTGTCCGGTACCCGTGCCGGAGCCACCACGTCCGGAACCCTTTAAAATTGCCGGCCTCGACGCATTCGCTGTGATAATGACGGTTGTCTTTTTCGTAGGCACACTGCTCTTTCTCATGGGCGTGTGTCTATTTCCTTCCAAGCGAAGTGAACGTAAGTTATATGTTAGAAAAATTTATATGTATAAAGGTATCAAATGGCAGCATGCATTTAATGATCAGGGGTTTTTCAGATTTTATAAATTTTAAAACTTTTGCTTATGTTTTTTTGTGGGTAATATCATTTCCATCTAAATTTTTAGCAGATTTTTATTGAAAATATTACCGAAAATTGCCGGCAATGGAAATCATATAATTTCAATCAGTTTGGAATGGATTGAAAAATAGTTTATAACGTATGGGTTAATCAGCTTAGATGAAAAGAGTATAAATCCTTATTCAGATACTTTTTAGTTGAAATACTTCTCACGGTTATACTACGGGTGTTTTACTATACATTTTTGTTCTCAAAACAATTGTTTTAGTGTGTGAACTGATATGTTTACAGATCTATCCGATAATGGGATCCCAAATTATTATCGAAGCTAAATTTTGAGGTTATAATGGTATATATGCATATAACTGGTTGTTGTTATTATTGTAACACATTAAAACATTTCTCAGTTTTATTCGAGAAATGCTGTTGTGATGATAGGTCGTCAATCAGTTCAAATTCGCTTTCGATTTGTTTATATAGACTCGTCTGTTTTAATAACGGTACTTCTAGCTGGCACAGCAAATAATCATACTTTTCTAAATAATTAAAATTTATAAAAATAAATTTACTATAAAAAAGTTGCTTTAAAACGTTGTGTACGTTCGATAATATTTAGAGTTAAAAAATTTTAATTTTTTTTCGAAGTTATAATAACATAGACTCGCCTGTTTTAAGCCCTCTGCCTGTAGCTGACATAGAAAATAAGTTTTATTTTTCTAAATAATTAAAATTTATAAACTTAAAATTACTATAAAAAAGTTGCTATAAAAATACGTGAGTTTTCCATAATATTAGGTAATAAAATTTTGTTTAAACGTTTGACACTACAGAAGGTAAATTAGTAGAATATTAAATTTGTGCAAAAATGGTGTATTTTTTTTGAGTCTGTGACGTCCAATTACTTCGTTTGTGTAGTGGGTTAGATTGACTCGAAAACTGTGTGGTCGTAACTTATAAGCGTAAGCTTATTTCAGTGTTGACTACATGAGTAGGTAGCAGTAATAAAAAAGGGTAAGCAATAATAATAAAATTTAAAGTTAATATAAAATATATTTTTGGAACTGTTTTCGAAATAATGTTGAGCAGTAATAAATTGTTGTCCCAGTAGTAAACAATATATAAAATATATTTTGGAACGGTTTTCGAAAAATTTTCGAACTAAAGTTTAGTAGCAACCCAGTAGTTGGTAGTTTTTTTTATATGGTAGGAAGACATTTTTCAATGAGCTTTTAGGATATACTACTTAAAATTTGTCTTATTTTATAACACGCTTTCTTAAAAAAATCCACAATCAGTTTTCAGAAAAAAATATACAAATGCTTCAAAAAAATTTTCGCATTGTGAATATTTTAATGAATTGGCTTTTGGTGCTTTCGAAAAATCATCTCATCCATAAAAAAAAAAAAATACAATATTAAATAATCAACTCATCGCGGAGTTTGCCATATACTAATTATTTACATACAAATTATTTTCAAATGCATTTTTTTTTTTTAATTTACACATTTTTTATTTACTAATATCTCCTATGATCTTCTTCTTATTATTATTGCATTGGTTGTTTATAGTAGGTGAAGGTTTGGATAGTGGGCTTTGTAGCGCCACAATAAACAACCGTTTTACTGGACAAGTGAGTAACGAGTTCGCACCCGAGGAGGATTCCCCACTACAATCGAAAATGGGCAGTATGTTGAAATTTTGATAGTCTTGAAATTTAGTGTCGTAGAAGTTGTGAACAAAATCATGCTCAATCAAATTCTGTTTGCTTTTTTTTTTTGTAAATATGTATCTGCTGCTCTTCATCTGTATACTCTTAAACTTTATTTTAGACATATATGTGTATACACATGTGTGTATACTTTATTTATATATATGTGCGTTTGTGTATGTGTGTTCTAATTGGCTTAATTTTCATTTAAGTTGTCATTACAGTCAACTGTAGCTTCGTTAATAACTGTAAATGCGCTAGTGATGCTAACTATGTGTTTCATTGCTGCATATATACAATATATCATATGAGCTGTTCTCTCTTAGACGCATCAAATAAGCTCTCAATTGTAATGAATGCCGTTACGATGATTTTCTAAATATCTAATTTGCACTTTGTCCAATTTGTGATTTAAAATAAGAGAAAAACGTCGACAGGTTTCGAATACTTAAGTATCCATTGGATTTGTCTATGGATCTGCTTACTTTGAAAATAACTTGAAATTTAATTCGCAAAACGCTTGATTTTCAAATGTATTCAGTAACCTGGAAAAAATACTCTTTTTATCCACTTACTTTCCGTGTGAACAACGTTAAAGAAATGTTTAAAACCTTTACAAAAATGTATTGTTCCCGAGTGTAAAAATTTGGTTTAAAATAGCAATTGTAATTTTTTGACAACCAGTAACTTAAAAAAATTTATAAAAATAAATTTAATACAAATTAAACACAAAAAAATTTTTTTAAGTTCATATAAATAAATTTAAAAAAATCTAAAAGGCAAAAAAAAAAATAATTAAAAAAAATTAATTTAAAAAAATACTTTTTTTTGGAAAAAAAAAATGGTTTGGAGTTAAAAAAGTATATGTAAGCAGGAATCACAGTTTTCTTCTGAACTTAACAATATAGTTCATAACCTCAAAAAATGGCATGTTTAAAATTATATTAGTGATTTTTAAAATAAAAAATTTCGGAAAATTCAGAAAATTGTTTGAACAATACTAATCACAAATAAAATAATAGATTTAAATAAGCATAATATAAATTTAAAAAAAAATTAATTAATAAAACAACTAAAAAAAATAAAATATAAAAAATTATTTAAAAATAAAGAAAAAAAAATATATATATAAAAAAGTTTAAACTTAATTTTAAAACAATTAACTGTACCGTTTTCATAATTAGTGACATTAAAGATATTAAATTATTAATTATAATACACATAAAAAAATAAGAATAAAACAATAAAAAAATAAGCAATAAAAACATATAAAAAATGTTTAAAAAAATTAGACAAAATTTTAATTAAATTAAATTAGAAAAAAATTAAAAAAATAATCAAAAAATAAATAAATAAATAAAAAAGTTAACAGGTAAGCAAAATTTTAGATTAATTTTCAACGAAAAAGCAACGGAGCGACCTTCTTTCAAACATATACAAATTTTAACTGAATATTAAAAAAACAAATAGGTTTACTTAAAAAGAACCATGGTTAAGCTAACGTATTAAAATAAAAAAAAACCCGCGGAGGTATGCTCACCTCTGCATGTCTAAAAACGAATCTAATGCCTCTTTAAAAAAAATTAAACAAAAAAAAAGGAAAAAAACAAACAACATGTTATATTATTCACTTTGCCATTGATAAATGTTTTTCTAATAAAATTTAAAATTAAATCTGTGACTTAATAAAATAAAAACTACCCTCTTCAAACTTAATGAGCAAGCTTCAAATTGCAACACCTGCACAACTTCAGTAGTTGTAAAGCGAAACAAACGTTTTTCACATCACCTAACATCTAACATCTGAATTTCATATTCTTTACTTCAAATATATATCTTCATAATATCCAACCGCTTCTAATATATCACTACAACTCTTACTCTCTATTTGTGCAAATCTTTTAACAGTTCGATATTTTTAAAATTTCTGCTTTTTATAGACGATGAAAACGAAGTCGATGGCGCGCAGGGGCCGCTTGATGAATATGAGACTGGTTATTTCGAAAATCTCGGCGCCAAGACCGAGAAATGTCTGGAAGCGTTTTTCACCACTTGGGGCAAATTCTTTGCACGCCGTCCGAAAATGACACTGATTGGTGGCATTTGTTTTGTCATAGTCATGGGTTATGGCATTAAATTCCTACACATCACAACTGATCCGGTACAGTTGTGGGCGTCACCGCAATCGAAATCGCGCATTGAACGTGAATTTTACGATTCACAATTTCAACCGTTCTATCGTATAGAGCAGGTGAGTGCTTTTTGTAAAAAGTTTAGTTTGAACTTTTAATTTTTGCCGCCAAAGTGTAGGCAACATTTTTACAATTAAGTTTACTTCTTTAAACTTTTATATTTAAATTTGTCGTTTATTATGTAAACAGTTTTTAGTATGAAAGTATCTTTTCATAAAAAGTGCTCAATAAAGTTTCATTGCCGAACTTTACCTCACCTAAATGTAGGCAATGCTCGAGAGATTTCGAAGAAAATAGCTTAACTTGTATATAAAGGGTTTAGTTTGAAATTATTTAAATTTGACGCCGAAATGTAGGCAACATTTTTACAATAAAATAATGTTTACTTCTTTAGCATTTATATTAAAACTTTGTCGATAATTATGTAAACACTTTGTCGTATCAAAGTATATTTTTTTATATACGGCTCGAAAGAGATTAATTTGCGAATTTTAGCTCACCTAAGTGTAAGCAACGGTACAGTCGATTGATTAGGAAGAAAATAGCTTACTTTGTCATGCCTGAATGAGAGAATTTCATTATTTTCGTAAATGTTGTCGCTAATCAAGTCTTTTGTTGTTTTTGAAAGATATTTGGTATTATTTTGTTGGCGCCTAAATGTAGGCAACTTCAAGAAGATTTTGTTATAAAATCTCGTCTTAATCAGGCTGAAAAAAAAACCGAAAAAAAATTAGAAAATAGAATAAAATTCATTTATGATTTTTTGAGTTTTAATAATAAAATGTAGCCATATTTTTTGCTTCTAAATAGCGCCATATAAACTATTTCTCATTCGCTATTCTCTTTCTTAAAGGTAATCATCCACGCAGTCGATTTGCCTGATATCGTACACAACACATCTAACGGTCCAATACATTTTGGTCCAGTTTTCGACAAAGCCTTTCTCACACAAGTCCTAGAGCTCCAAGAAGACATTATGAATTTAGGAAGAAATGGTAATGGCACAGTTTTGGAGGATATTTGTTTTGCACCCTTGTCTAGTGAGAGCGGCAGCAAAAAGGATGTTTCCAACTGTATTGTACAATCCATTTGGGGTTATTTCGGCAACGATTTGGAGCGTTTGAATGATACTGACGAGGATGGCAATTTCGAGGTGAGCCAACAAATAAATTTTTTTTTAAATAAAAATAATATATATATTTATTATTTAATTTTGACCACAGGTCACCTACTTAGATGGTTTGTATCAGTGTATGAGTAATCCATATCTCTGTCTGGCACCGTATGGCGGACCAGTGGATCCAGCTGTAGCTTTGGGTGGCTTTTTACCGCACGGTGAACAGTTATCGGGCGATACGAAATTCGAGCATGCAAATGCCATTATACTCACATTCCTGGTGAATAATTATCACGATAAGTCCAAATTGGGTCCGGCATTAGAGTGGGAGAAACGTTATGTAGATTTTATGTTGAATTACACGAAGACACGCATGGGCAAACATATGGACATTGCATTCACATCGGAGCGCTCGATTGAGGACGAACTAAATCGTGAATCACAATCCGATGTTATGACCATACTCGTTTCCTATTTAATTATGTTTGCGTATATTGCGATATCTTTGGGTCACGTGCAGGAGTTGCGTCGCGCGCTAATCGATAGTAAAATCACTTTAGGTGTTGGTGGCGTGATCATAGTGTTGGCCTCCGTAGTCTCTTCGGTTGGCGTATTCGGTTATATTGGCGTACCAGCAACACTTATTATCGTCGAAGTTATACCCTTCCTTGTGCTGGCCGTGGGTGTCGATAACATCTTTATATTGGTGCAAACGTATCAGCGTGATGCACGTCGCGCCGATGAAACGCACGAGGATCATATTGGTCGAATATTGGGACGTGTTGGACCCTCTATGCTACTCACTTCGGTTAGCGAGAGCTGCTGTTTCTTCTTGGGCGGTCTTTCGGATATGCCAGCGGTGAGAGCTTTCGCCTTGTACGCCGGCATGGCATTGCTCTTCGATTTCATACTGCAAATCACATGCTTTGTTAGTTTGCTAACACTCGACACTAAGCGTCAAGCTGAAAATCGTTTGGATATCCTCTGTTTCATACGTGGCAAAAAAAGTGATGCCTTACCCCATACTGAGGGTTTATTGTACAAATTCTTTAAGAGTGTCTATGTACCGTTCCTAATGCAAAAGACTATGCGTGTCGTGGTTATGATCGTGTTCTTCGGTTGGCTATGCAGCAGTGTTGCTATAGCGCCACGCATTGAAATCGGTTTGGATCAAGAATTGTCGATGCCGCAAGATAGTTTTGTACTACACTATTTCCAAGCGTTAAACAAATATTTAAGTATTGGTCCGCCAGTGTATTTTGTTTTAAAATCTGGTTTGGATTTCTCCAAAACATTCCATCAAGATCTTGTTTGTTCCGGCAAGTATTGTAATGACGACAGCATGTTGACACAAATCTATTTGGCTAGTCGTCGCGGCAATGTGACGTACATTGCACGTCCTGCCTCCAGTTGGATCGATGACTACTTCGATTGGAGTCAGTCGTCAAGTTGCTGTAAATATTATCCGAAAACTGGCGACTTTTGTCCACATCCAAGTAAGTACCTCATCGTATTTTTGTTAAGATTAGCTTATATAGAATGATTTAAAAAACTATAGTGAATATATATTATAGTAATATTATTTAGTATTGACGGTTTTGCTTTCCTATATATTATATGAATATGATAAAAATCCGCATTAGTAATTATGTTTATAACTTAAAACCCGCCAATTTTAAAAGTGCTGTGTCTACTAATTTAAAAACATGTCTCGTACTCTAATATGGTTTAATTGCACAGTGTCACTGCTTTCACAGCAAAAACTCTTTCTCAAAACCAACTTTCAAACGATGGGTTTAGAAATTTTAGTTTTTTTTCTTCTAAAATTCGAAAACATTTTTGAACACAATTATTTATTGTAGCTATATATATTGACGTACAGGGTACTTCGTGCCCCTAATTGGATTGGTTGAAGAATGTATTTGCTTTTACAACAACCACTTAACTGACGAGTTAAATTTTTTTAAAATTTCTAGTGATAGATTTTTAATTTTTAGGTTTTTTTTTCGAAATTTCGAAAATGATTTTTGAAGACAAGGACTTTTTTAAAACTATATTGATCTAGATAATATATTAAGATTTGTTTTTGTGCACTGGAATAGTGGGAAAAACTGTGTGGTAAAATGATCTTAGTTCGGTTTATATCTCGTGGTAGTAGATTCATGATATACATATATATTTTAATACGAGATCCTAAATTGGTCATGATTTCGTTCAACTAGTTCTGAAATCAATTGACATTTCTTCGCCAAAAAAAATCCGGGTCCGCTCCGGTTACGTAGGCGCGACTGTCGTGGGAACGGCTGGGAAAAGTATAATTTACGCTGGTGATCTGTAAACTTAATCTTAGAGTGTTTTAGCTTTTCTACTGTTACATCGTCTTCTAAATTTTATATGTATAAAAAAAAAAATAATAATTTGCCTATGATAATAACCAATTTTTACTAACCTTATAAATTAGTTTGTTATTGTATATTAGTTTTTTTTTTTAATTTGGAATCTGAAAATTCTTAAATAAAAATTTCAATTAAAATTTCAAATAATTTTTAAATCTCAAAACTAGCAATAAAAATTGAAAACTTAATTTTTAGTTAAAAATTGTTTAATTATAAAATTAGCAACGCTATGCACAGTAGTTTCAATATTTATTTTCTATAAATAATATTACATCATTTAACCGTTACATATTGCCTTTTTTCATTTATAGAGACTGAATGTGACAGCTGCGAAATTGAGAAAACCAATCGACAACGACCTAACGCGCATGATTTTGGCAAATATCTAACATTTTTCTTGCGCGACAATCCCGACGATAGCTGCGCCAAAGCCGGCCATGCTGCTTACGGCAATGCTGTACAGTACAAAACTAATCCAAGTACAAATCTCTCTATCGTCGAATCCACCTCCTTTATGGCATACCATTCGATATTGAAGACATCAGCCGATTTCTATGAATCACTACGCGCCGCACGTAAAATCTCCGCGAATATAACGCATATGTTGCGGGGACGTTTAATGTCACAGGGTGTGCCGTTTGAGCAAACGCTCGATATTGAAGTATTTCCCTATTCGGTATTTTACGTATTCTACGAACAGTATTTAACCATGTGGCCAGATACTTTGCAAAGCATGGGCATTTCGGTACTCGCCATATTTATTGTTACATTCGTGCTAATGGGTTTCGATATACACTCATCGCTGGTTGTGGTGATCACTATAACAATGATTGTTATAAACCTGGGCGGTATAATGTACTATTGGAATATATCTTTGAATGCTGTGTCGCTGGTGAATCTTGTGATGGCTGTTGGTATATCGGTGGAGTTTTGTTCACATTTGGTGCATAGTTTCTCGATTTCAATGGAGAGTACACGTGAGAAACGCGCTGCAGATTGTCTAACCAAAATGGGCAGTTCAATATTTTCCGGTATTACTTTAACGAAATTCGGTGGCATTTTAGTTTTGGCTTTTGCCAAGAGTCAAATATTCCAAGTATTCTATTTCCGCATGTATTTGGGTATTGTGCTGATTGGCGCTGCTCACGGACTTATATTCCTGCCGGTGCTACTCAGCTATATTGGTTAGTGATCCAATCAAGTAACTAAGAAAATAATATATATGGTTTGTTTGTTATACGAAATTGCTTTCTTATGTAATATTGTCTGATTTGAATTTTACATTTTCATTCGCGTTACGCAGGCGCACCGATTAACAAAGCCAAGCTGGTCAATTATCAACGACAGGCATATAAAGTGCAAGAAACATCGCTTTCTACGGTAAGCTTGACATAAACTATTTTTAAACAGTATTTTATAGTTTTATTATTATTAAAAAAATAGTTTAATTCTGGGAATCGTAAATCTGTCTATAATGCATTTTAAGACTCAACCAAAATTACTTTTTTCTAAACAGCAAATATTGCGGTTGTGTCAGTAATCCAACTTTATTTATTCATTTTTCATTTTTATACCATATACAGGTTATTTTAAGTTTGCCACGAAGCTTGGAACACCCAGAAAAGTTATAGGGTATCTAACAACAAGTATACATATATATAAAAAACCAGCGTGACGAGCTGAGTCGATTTAACCATGTCCGTCTGAATATACGCTCACTTGTCCCTCCGTTTTTGAGATATATTTTTTTGCACACGTTCTTTCCTCCCCAAGAAGCTGTTCATTTGTTGGAATCGTCGGCATCCGACCACTATAGCATATAGCTGTCATGCAAACCGACCGATCAAAATCGAGTTTTTGTATAGTAAAATGATTTATTTGACAGCAAGTCCTCACGAAATTTAGCATAGATTATTAACCAAGGCAGCGCCACAATCTCCGAACATTTTGTTCAGATCGGACGACTATAGCATATGGCTGCCATACAAACTGATCGATCAAAATCAAGTCCTTGTATGGAAAACTTTTTTATTTGACAAGTTGTCTTCACGAAATTTGGCACGGATTACTGTCCTAGGCAACCCTACAATCTCCGAACATTTTGTTCAGATCGGATGACTATAGCATATAGCTGCCATACAAACTGATCAATCAAAATCCAGTTCTTGAATGGAAAACTTTTTTTTTACGATATATCTTCACAAAATTCAGCAAAGATTTTTTTCCAAGGCAATGGTACGATCTCCGAACACATTGTATAGATCGGACGACTAAAGCATATAACTGCCGTACAAACTGATATATCAAAATCAAATCCTTGTATGGAAAATTTCTTTATTTGACAAGATATCTTCATGAATTTTGGCATGGATTATTTTCCAAGACAATGCTACAATCTTCGAACATATGGTTCAGATCAGATCATTATAGCATATAACTGCCATACAAACTGATCGGTCAAAATGAAGTTCTTTTATGAACAAGTTCACGTTTTTTCTTGTTTTCTCTGAATTTTGGGACCAGACCGATTTTTTGTTGGTTCCCACTTTGTTATATATACATATATTAGCGTAAATTATTTACTTGACATACATATGTACACAATTAATTTTATATATTTCATATTTTATTTTCTTTCACTTTTAGACGTGATGCGAATCGATAATTTACCAAAGAGACGATTCACCGTCAAGTCCAAAGAACATCATCCAACCAACACAATCAACCAGCATATTAGCATTTTTCCATCAATACATCAGCAGGGCGTGTCTTTATCGCGCAGCGAACGTGTGAAGACGATAATGATGCGATAATGATGTTAAAATCAAAAAACGCCCCAGTCACGTTAGAAAGCGAGCATGTGTAAGTAACGGAGCAGCGAAACTTTATTTGCACTTGTAACAGTTCAGGATATTTAAAAAATATAGGGTACAAAGGAAATATAAATGTATGTATGTAGTTTATTGTTTTTAAATTTTTTCCCCCGAATGCGAGAATTACAAAAAAACTGAGTAAAAGACAAAACTAAGATTTCTTTACGAAGTAATTTATATATTTACACACACACATGCGCGTACGCAAACAAACGTTAGTTGTGAAGTTCGTAAAAGGCTTTTGTATTGAAAAAATAAAATAAAAACAAAAACAAGCACCAATATGTACCCAGCCTAAATTGAGCTCTGTGATAAACTTAGGTACAGAAAAAAGAGAACAAATCATAAAAAAAATTAAATTTTAAATAAACTATAAAAAACAGCAACAAAATCTGTATTAAACAAAATATGCAATCATATTTCCATAGACTGGTCAACCGCGCAGCCGTTGCGGCGTTGAAAGCATTCATGTTTGGCTTTAGATTTTGAAAGCCGTTAGTATTTTTTTTAGCATTTTGCAATGACATATTTTTAATTATCAAACGTTCTCTGATACATCATATACAGAAATATGCAAACACGCAAAGAAATTTTCAAACATACAAACAATATTCATTCACACCTACATATATACATTTTTAGTGTATATAAATACAGCTATAATGCCATTAGGCTTATATATTCTCTGCATTCATTAAATTTTATTTTCGAATATCTTTTTGCAAATTGGATTAACGCGAATTGAACTTTTCTTTAGCTTAAATTTTTTCCAAAATATTATTATTATTATATGCGTGCTTTGAAAGTTCCATTAGACATCTATGTACATATATACCCTTTGTTTGTGTGTGTAAATGTAGCATATTTAGACTATATTAGGTAGCTATATTAGTACTTTGAAAAGCCTACAATTGTTTTTAGGTTAAATGAATTATAATAAATTTTTTGAAATAAAAAGCACTCTAATAAAATTATTCATAAACTGTGTGACAATGTACTTTTTTTCTATTTATATTATTTTATGTATTTTCAGTTACTTTTTTGTTCTACAGGATTTGAACGATTATTTTTTAAATATAATATTAATATTAATACTTATTATTTCAAAATTTAAAATTTTTTATTGAACATTATTGTGTTATGTTTTATTTTTAATTTTTATAATTAAAATTTTTTATTTTAATTTTTTAACATTCTTATAAATGACCAACACAATACACATATTTATATACATTTTATTATTTTAATTTTATTATGACTTATTTAGTTATATTATATTATTTATATTTTTATTTTTATACTTATACGTATGTACAATACATACACATGTCTATAGCTTTTTATATTATTTTGTCCATTTTTTAATTTATTTTTAACACTATATTTTTCAATTTAAATATTTATGTTTTTATATTTGAAGTATTTTTTACATATTTATATTTGAATAATTTTTTATATTTTTTATTTTTTATATTTTTTAATTTTTTTATTTTTATTATTACTATATTTAAAAAAAATTGAAAAAAATATTTGTTTGAAAGTTTATTTTTGAAATTTAAAACTTTTTTATTTAAATTAAAATTTTTTTTATTTAAATTTAAAATTTTTTTATTAAATTTTTTAAATTTAAAATTTTTTTATTTTAAATTTCAATTTAAAAATTTAATTAAACAGTTTTTTTGGATTTTTTTTAATAGTGTACTATTATTTTACGTATTTTTTTCATATCCTTTTTTTCGCGCTTTCTACTAAGCATTTTCTTTGAAAACTGCCTATCACACGCATACTCATGCGATTTTAAGGCTCTTATTCACATAAATTATTCAAATGCACTCCAAAATATTTGAAAACTTCAACCAATACATGTATACGCACCTATTTATAAGCAACTTTAGTCGCAAATATTTTGTTTCGCATATTAAAAGCGCGTTTGCTATGAAATTTAGATATGCGAAACTACCGAAATTGATATTACTGTTACATATGTACGTATGTGCAAGCAATAATTTTAATTATTATTTTTTAATTGATTTTAATTACTTTATTTTCAATTTGATATTACAGTTATATGCAAGATATCATTTTTAATCTTTTTTTTTCAAATTGAAATTGCAGTTATATGCAAGCAATGATTCTATTTTTTTTCAAATTGATATTGTTTAATTTTTATTTTATTTATTTTTTAATTGATATCAATTTTTTTTATTTTTTTGATTGATTCAAAAATATTTTTTTTGCACTTAGAGCAAAAATCACAGTTTTCAATTGGTTTTGGTTTATAACAAATTTTCAACAATAAAAATTAATTTGAATTATTTAATATATGTATATACATATATTATTTTTATAAAAAAAAAATGTAGTAAATTTCACTGTCATATTTAGTTTTGGTATTTATTGGTGCTTAAAAAAAACTATGTTGTATGTGTAGAATAGAGAAGAAAGAAAGGCGTTGTGGAAATAGGATATCAGCACCAAGAGCAAATAAAGTATTAAAGATTTAGGCAATGTATGCATTGTATATTATAAATATTAGTTGAAAATTTAATGTGGCCTTCTTTAATTGAAAATAAAAACAAAAACTGAAATAAATAATAAAGTAAACATGTAATGAACACAAACAAAGACTAGCTGCCAATGAATTTGGTATTTGATATATGCAAAGAAAAATGAAATGTGTAAAAATAACTACAATTTGTAAGCAAAAATGCGTAAAATTGCAGTTATGTGTATATTGTTTGTAAAAATGTTATTAAAATGTGTAATTGAAAGCGGAAGTATAGCAAATAAATGAAAGCAAAATGCAACAGTGAAGTTGCACGCAGTCACACACACACACGCATGGATAGAATACATAAACGCATGCATAATTTATTTTTTATAATTACAATAAATGCACACATGCATGCATAGATACATACATATGTACATATATACACACATACATATGTGCGTATGTTGTATGTATGTAATAACTACCAACAATAATATGTATGCATGTGCATATATTGTCACTTTCTGTATGTATTCGTATACTATGTAGCTATACAATATACTTGTACATATTTATAAAATACTTCTCTAAATGAATGTGTTAGGCGCAAGACAAATGTGTGACAAATTGTTGAAACATGGATTTATCAATTATGGACTATATGTATGTGTATAAGTAAAGTGGAATAAAAAAAGTATATATATGAAATAAAACTATTCAGTTCCTGGTATACTGACTGCGACAGGTCTTATAACGCGAAAAATAAATAATGTCTTTATTATTATAAATAACTGTATAACCGGCGAAGAACATATATATGTATGTATATATATAGTAGATAATGAAGTATACTATGGTAATAAAAATGTTCAAAAATGTAACAATTTTTTTTTTGATTTGATAGTTTTTTTGTATATATTCAAAGCTTAACTATTCAAGAATACATATGTAGGTTTTTTCAAAAATCAAATTATTTTCGGAGTTATATGTATACGCGAAGCTTCAAATGCGATTTTGTCGAAACCGTTTTTTCCAAAGGATACTCACGATTTTTCAGGTTCTACCATACTGTACCGATTTATCTGCAATTACTTTTCGTTCCCCCGACCGCTGGGTCTATGCATCCGGCATGGACCCGGATTTTTATCCGACCAAGAAGTGTCAACTAGGCACCGTACCTTGAAATTATTTGAGGAATGTTTTCTGCCACTACAACAACAACAACGTGAACTTTTCGGAGAGTCTTCTTTATAGACTTGTCTATGCTTGGAACAATGCAAATTCGCAAATTTAAATTTTTACTATTTTTAAAAAATTCTAAACAGTTAAAAAAAGTGGTACAAAAATTGTGTTTTTTTCATGCAGCCCTCATTTATTAAACATTTTTCTTCCAACCTTTCCGTAGAACCAGACATTGCGACACTATTCTAGATTAATAATACCTGAAAACCCTGAACAGCGTATATTAAGTTTGCCATGATGTTTATAACATCCAGAAAGAAACGTCGGATACCTTATAAAATATATACATATCTAAATGATCAGCGTGACGAGCTGAGTCCATTTAGGTATGTCCGTCTATCTGTCTGTATATACGCGTACTAGTCATTCAGTTGTTGAGATATCGATCCGAAATTTCGCAGACATCCTTCTCTCCCCAAGAAGCTGCTCATTTGTCGGAACCGCCAATATCGCACCACTATAGCATATAACTGGCATACAAACTGAACGATCGGAATCAAGTGCTTGCATGGAAAACTTTTTCATTTTCCGAGATATCTTCACGAAATTTGGCATGAGTTATCTTCTAAGGCAACAATGTATTCTCCGCAGAAATTGTATAGATCAGATCACTATAGCATATAGCTGTCATACAAACGGAACTGATCAAATTTGACTCGGACTGTTCCATTGAAACTGCTCGCGAATTATATTATACCGATTTGGATTAAAGAAAAATAGAACCGCCCTTTTTGTATGAAGATTCGTATAGTCCTCGACCATATATTGTATACTTGACATTTAAAATATAACTTATATATTGCTTAGTAGTAAGAATTTAATGACGCTGCATATCAGCATTGATTGTGGCGAGTCGTTGACTGACTGGCCAAATAAGTGGGTAGGTGAAAAATTTCTGGTGTTGGAGCAATAGGGTGGTACGATAACTCTCGCAAACCGAGTCGGTAAAAAAATGTTTCCTACCATTTTTTAGTACGTGGCTCGTACGAAAAGGACCTGCATCTTTTTTAGACGAGGTCGCAAAAGAGATGTTCAACAACGGCGCTGATGTGGTTCGCCATAAATTCGTTCCACAAGGTCAAACGGTCAATAAGGAATACTACTTTGCCATTTTGAGAAGTCTACGTGAAGTAATTCGTCGCAAACGACCGAATTGGTGGAAAGAAATTTCATGAATTTTTCACCACGGTAATGCGTCATCACATTGTAACTGACATTTTTGGCCAAACAGAAAACGAGGGTCATCAGCCACCACATTCACAGAACGCATGAGCCCATTGAAGTCATTCGCTGAATGCGCTGAAGCCCTATCGCGCTATCCCACCCGAGGCTAATAACAATATTGAGCATTATTACTTTATATGATAAGTGTTATCCTTCATATGATTTACATTTTTAAATTGTATCAAAAAGTAATAAATTCGCTTTGATGACTTTATAGCAGACGTAGTAAGTTCGACTTAGTAAAAAACCATATGATTTACCAAGTGTGTGAAGTAAGCACTTAGTAAGTGATCTGTTCGAAGTCTTTTAAGCTTAGATGTCATTTTATACGAAGTGTGGTGAGTTCAGCGTAGTACGATTTCATATGATATCATACCAAACTACTTGTGTGTGATGAATTCGTAGCATTTTCGATGATTTTGAAGCCTTTTAGGCCTAAATATCGTTTTCTCCGAAGTGTGGCGAGTTTGACTTTATACAATACTATATGAGAACCTGGCAAGCCTCTTGTAGGTGTAGTAAACACTTTTAAAATGATGATTTTGAAGCCTTTTAAAATTATTATAATTTTCGTTCAAGTGTGGTGAGTTCAACTATAGTACAATTACATATGAGATCATACAAAACCACTTGTATGTGAAGTAAGTATTAAATAAGTGATAAACCTGAACCTTTTTGAGTTTTTTGAAGTGTGGTGAGTACGTCGTAGCACAATTCTACATGAGATCATACCAAGCCACTTGTATGTGGAGTAAGTACCTAGTAAATGATGATTTCGAAGTTTTTAAGCTTAGATATAATTTTATCCAAAGTGTGGTGAGTCCGACGTGGTATTCAAATATACATTCAAAAAATGTATCATCATACATATTCACATCACCGATGATTTCGCAGCCTTTTAGGTTTAGATATCATTTTCTCCGAAGTATGGTGAGTCCGAGGTGGTATTCAAACATACGTCCATACAAAATTTCACCATTGTATATTTCCCTATTATATCAACGATGATTTCGAAGCCTTTTAAGCT